CAATACATTTCAATTTATTTCTTACATTTTCTGGAATTTTGGATAATTTTTGTTTTACCCATTCTTTTGTAATTATAGGAATTATTGCTTTTCCTATAGTATCTTCTATATTGATAGACATTTCTTTATAATTCATACTTACAATTGTTTTATTTACTCTTAGTAAAATTCCTAAAAATTCTTGATATCCTAAGAATCCTTGATGGAATACATCTTTTTCCTGTAGATCTAATATCTTTTTAGTGATTCCTGCATATTTTTTAATATCAAAAGTAATTTCCTGATTAATACCTTCTATAGAATCTTAGACTTCTTCAGTTGTTTCAATTTCTATTTCTGATTGTTGTATCTCCTGATTCATATATACTATCTCATCATAATCTTCTTCTGATGAGGAGGTATCTAATTCATAAATGCTACTGCATTCACTACTTAAATCTTCAAAATATTCAATTGGTTCTATGTCACTATCTTCTTGAAATTTTTCATAAATCCTAAGAGTTTTTATATTTTGTCTATCTTTCTTTTTAGGACATTGAGGGGCAATGTGTCCTTCTTCATTACAAATAAAACATCTACATTTTTTAATGTTTCTTGGTTTAAATTTCTTATTCCAATTTCTTTTCTTGAAATATTTTTTATATGGTTTAAAATTCCTTTTATGAAATTTTTTTATAATTTTTGAATTTTCTTTTATATTTCTTATATGGTTTATATTTCTTCTTATGGCATCCAAATTGTTCAATTTGGCCATTATCTTTATAATAACATAATAAATTCTTTCTTATTTTATAAGCCTTCTTATTTTCTAGTGCTTCTCTACACCACATACCTATCATTCTTCTTGTAAATTCAATTCTACTTCCAAGACTATCTATTTTAACTCCTTCCTCTTCTCCTAGAGGAAATAATTTCTCATATTCTTTTAATAGCTTAATTTCCCATGGGAATGGTAACTTTGTAAAATAAAATCTTAATATAAGTTTATTTTCTTGATAATCTCCTTAATTAAGTATATAGTATAATTCTTCAAATTTACAAGTATATCTTTCTAATTCACACATATCACATATCTTTAGATTTTCCATTGCTATCATTCCTTGATTATATTCATCCTGTTTTCTTTCTTTTTCATTAGAAGTATACATATCTCCTAAGAATTCTGTTCTTAAGATTTTTTCAAATCTTTTTAATATCTCCTGTATATTTTGTTCATTTAGAGTATTTCTATTATCTAATACCTCAGTTCTATTTGTTCCATATTTTATGCTTCCTTTAATAGTTTCTGGTAATTTGCTCCACCATTCAGAAACAATTTCTCTGAATGTATGTTCTATAAATCCAAAAGTTATATATGTTTCCCATTTATTAAATTGTATTGCTAAATCTGTACTTTTCATACATGTTTCAATAGCCTTATTTTTATCTACACAGTCTAAATCTAACCAAACTCCTGTTGTGTGGATTAGTTCATTATAGGACTTCATTGGATTTATTTCTTTTATGGATTGTTTTCTTACATTTCCAGTGTATCTTTTCTGTGTTTTTCTATATTGGTTAATATCATCCTTAAGTGGTATTGTAGTACCATAAGGATAATCTTGTTCTTCATCACTACTAAATTCTACTTTTATATTCTGATTTGAAGATGGATTAGTATTCATCTTTATATTTTCCATTTTTTAGTTAATTCTTCTAACTGTTTTTTATATTCTTCGTACTCTTCTCCTGTAAATTCTAAAAAGTTTTGTTCTATTTCTTCTACATCTGTTATCATATATTGTTTTTCTTCATTTTTTTCCTTTATTATTTTCTTTTTGTGTTATCCTATAATCTTGAGGTGGATTAATTATAATCTTATCTTTTCCCTTAAGACTTTTATCTAAAAGAGCGTTTCCTACTTGTAGATTATGTTCTAGATTTTCTAATCTTTTATGTATATCTCCAAAATTTTCATTTGTGGTGTTTTTAGGCAAATAAGGATAACTAGGTTTTTTATATTTTTCAACTTTTTTCAAAAATTCTTCAATTATATTTTCTTCTTCTACTATATTCATCATAATTTTTGGTTCGTAACATGGCTCTGCTACCATTTATACCAGAGTGCGCAGATCACACTCACTACCGTCCGGATTTACGGAAGCGGCCCTGTCTTGACAGTAGTATAGTGATACCTATCTGAGTCCTTGAGTTGCCATGGGTTCTGCCCAGGCGTAACTCAAACCGGGGGCGGAGAGTTAGTAATTACTGCTTTTCCCTATAGAGTTCCACCCGGATACATAATCATGCATGCTCGGATACCATTTATACCAGAGTGTGCAGCGGAGGGATTAATATTTTTGAGCCAATTAAAATCTTTATAAGTATTAAAATCTTTATAAGTATCTAAAATGTTACAATAAAATTTATAAAATTCACTATTTTTTATTAATACTTTTTCTTTAATGATTTTATTTAATTCTTTAATTCTTCTTCTCAAATTAAGAATTAATTTATATATATCATTTTCTGTTTTGATTGTATTATTATCTATAGGAACGTTTTTATTTTTTAATTTTGGATCTAAATATTTTGTAAAGAATCTTTTCAGTTTTTCTTCTAAATAATTTAATTCACTTTCTGTTGCATTTCTTAGATCAATAAAATTTTCTATAATATTTGGGTTTAAATTAATTAAAGATTTTTGGTCTATATTTTCTTGAGGACATATTTGAAGGTTTTTATACATTGTAGTGGCTTTGATTGCAATTTTTCTATAAGGGGTATTTTTGGAAAGATGATTGTTTGAAGACTATTTTTCAAATGTTTTCATTTCTTAGTCTATTTTTAAAAACCTTCCTTTTATTTAGGCTGTTTGGATGTATTTCCCCAAAAAGAATGGAACCCCATTGTGTGTACAGAGAACACACACAGCAGGAAGGAGTGGTTTTTTTTTTTTTTGGCACTATTTTATTCATGTGGGATCCACTCCCATATGAGTGGTGGGTCTAGTGTGAGTGTTCTGTATTGTTTCTGTGAAATCATTTATGTAGAAATGGAAAAAATGAAAAGAATATGACTTTCTGAATGGTTACACTGGCCTACAGAACAAATGGTTTATAGTACAATCAAAAGTAAACGAAGATTACTCTATAACTAGTGTACTTCCTACTGATGTCACCTCTTATAAGTATAAACCATGCTTTAAATCGAATAGAAAAAAATGTACCATAAAATGAGAATGGAGACTCTTTTTGTGTTTCTACTGCATCAATTTCCTCTAAAAGCTGCAAGTCTGGCAACAAAATCATCATAGTCCGGCAACTTAGGGTGCACGTGCCCGTTTGCACTCAGTATTTCAGGCTGGAGGGACGTGGCCCGGACGTGTCTTTTTGGAATCTTGGTTGAAGTTGTTAATTCTACAGGAAGCGAAGACATTCTGTTTGGAGCATCTCTGTTTCCATGTTTAGATGATTTGCTTTTTTCCGTGGCAGCAAGCTGACGGGGCGGCTTATGAGCTGAGGCTGAATCGTCCATGTCGTGAGGTGTCTTTTTCCGACTGTAGTGAAATAAAAGCTTGTCCATCGCTCTTTCTTCGTTGTCTCGTTGGTCACCCTTGTCTAAGAACTTTAGAATTCTTTGTCCATGGGCTGCTTTGTCTTGATTTACACTGTTGTTACTTTCGGAACCACCAACATTTTCAAGAGCCGATGGCAGTTTTTTAATTTGTCTACTCCTGACGGATCTTGGCTTCGGCTTAGCATCACCAACTGAATCATCAGTGTCGCTAATCTTTTCGTTGTCATTTTCCGATTTGGTATAAGGAGGAGCAATCGATTTAAAGTTAACAGGCTTTTCATTCTCGACTTTTTCCTCATAAGTACTTCTCAGGGTACCTGGTTGATTTCGCACCTCGTTTCTTCCAATAGGAGGTGTAACAACTGGTGGACGAACTATGTTGTCTTTTTGAGGCCCGGCATTTTCCTTTCTCCTAGGTAATCTGTGTTCCTCTTTCGTAGCTTCCTTTTCTCCATAAGATGAACGGACATCTTTCCTCTCGGGAGCAGTACATTCTCTCGGGTTCTCAATGTCCCTGCAGCCTTTATTTTGAACTGAACCATTCACCCCGTTGTGAAGACTGTAATCACTACCATTGGTTTCCTTGGTGAAATCCTGCAAATAAATCACACATTTAGCCAAGAAAATATCATTTAGTGTCAAAAAATATTGTGTAATGAGATGCGCGGGGCATGCTAGAGCTCAAAGCATCACAAATCCAATAAAATGGTAATGTACATGTTCCCCATGACCAAGAAAAAATGTCTAAATATCAGATTATACCAAACTTCTTCAACATTGTTTAGAAAGAAGGATCGTGTGACAGAACATACATTGAAATACGACGTGATCCTCATCTTTGAAGTTGAATAAAGAACCTAGATTTTCCATTTTTGATCTCTTTCTTCTTTTCATTGACAATAAGTAAACTAAAAATGGAGGTTTATGCGGTTATAGAGGGCCTTACTTGGATAGAGGCAGCCACATTATAAAGCTTATTTTTCAAAGCTTCTGAATTCCATGTTAAGCCTGAATGTACTGCTATATCTTGCATTAATTGAAGCTTCATATCCATTGATGGAAGAGATAACTTCAACATCTCAACAAACTATATATAAGAAATCAAATGTTTAGTTTCTAAGGAAAAGAAAGGAATATAAATATCCAATTCAACAACATTCATACATGGAAGAACGAGTACCTCTTTATTGACGTAAACATCCAGAGAATTCTCGTATCTCTCAGAAAAGACAGTTCTCAGCTCCCTCAATTCCGGCAGGTCAGCGAATCTTGCTGCTGCTTGCATCAAAGACGATACAGCTTCCCTGCACTCTTCGGGACATTCCCTGTGAATAAGAAATATTAGGGCAGATGAATTAGCATTCACACAAAGTCCACCGTACAATAAAGGGGAAAAAAACACAAATTTCAAACACAGAGATATATAATCTATATCGTCAATATTAACATGTCCCAACTGATAAAATGATGGGAAAAAGCTGGAGAATATATTCATGGAAGGAAGAATTACATATGTAGAGAACCGTGGCGTAAGAGTAATTATCTTTAAGAACTTCAAGGCAGTGGCACAATGCCACAACTCCACCCCCAACCCAATGAACATGACTGAATTATGTTTGTCTTATAGGCCAGAATCTCTTAGCGCACGTTTTTGTATGTGAATGCACGATATTTTGATGTATTTCATATACCCCAGTTACAGTGAAATGGCGAATGTGTTTAATACCTCTGTTTAGCCATGGCTGCGAGATGACTCGAGATAAAAACTGAAAATTGCTCAATCAAATCGTAACAGCTAGATTTGTTCAACTCAACCAGAAGTCCTTCCGCCTGTTTTCACATAAAAACGGGACCGAGTCAGAACAATAACATCAAATGCACATCTTAATGTTAACGAATGCAGAAAACAAGCATCAAAATTTTAAATTGAATTCTAGAAAATAAATGTTAAAGAAATGCTCCAATATAGCCCTTGTTTGAGCCCCATTTTTTTGACAAAATACATTCTTAAACAGTGTTTTGACATCATTTCACATCCTTCAATAAAATAATATTGCACGAAAATCTAAAATTTTTCTTTATTTTTCAACCACATATTTCACATCATTACACTATTAAAAAATGCATTTTCTTGGCAAAAATGGGGCTCAAACAAGTGCATAATTTGAGATTTCAAATCCTACAGATTATACAACCGGGACCCAGAATAACAAGAATTCATACATCGCGTCTTTCATTAGCCAAGGAGATTTGTAGCAATCAAATGATTAAAAACATTCTGATTCAGTCTTTTACAACAAAAGGGCTCTAAGGGAACAATTCCCAAAACCTTTTGCCGGATTAGATAGAACACGGCTGTAAATCAATAATTCAAGAAAAAAATTAAGTTTCTTGCGTCCAGCGAATTGAGTTATTTGTGATTCTACCTTTAGAGCTGTCATCAATCAGTATCCTTATGTTTCAAGTAATCTCCAATAAAGAGAAACAAGAAACGAAATCTGAAGCATAAGTTCTTGAATGTGAATAAAAATATGGAATAATATTCAAGAAAATACACTCACCCTGCCATAGGCATTATTATCTAATCCATTCTTAAGCAGATCAGCAATATCATTCCTCAAATACTTCTGCATTGCATTTCTCTTCTTGCGTATAATCTCGATCCGAGTTTTCGTCATCTTAATTGCCGATTTGCTATTCCCCAAAACAAAAAAAAAAAACAAATTAACCCCCAAAAAATCCAGGAAAAAAAAAACATTGGATAAAAACAAACTAAAAAAGGGGGAAATTTTAATTGTTCTTACCATTTGGAGTAGAATTTGCTTTTCAACAACCCGTCAAACATTTTCTTCTTTTTTGGGTTCTGAAGAGAATTGATTAAAAACAGTTTCAAGAATTGTTCTTCTAATGCGACTCAAAGTTGATCCGCATTTAAGAGCTATAACGAGCTGGGAAGAATAGACAGAGACTAAGGCAAGAATATAGGATGGTCTTTATTTTTAAAATGAATGTTTATTGACTTTAATTACAATATATACACTAAATGGTCATATACACACAAAATATTTATAGAGAGAGAGAGGAGAATGAACGGAGTGCTAAATTTGCTCTGCCACGTTAGGCTGCAACTGGATGTGTAACTGTAGAAAGTTGTAATTACAATAATGGGCTTGATTGTTGGAGTAATTAATGAGGTAGTTATGGAGATATGGCGGGAAGGGAAGGGTAATATAGTAAAATGATAGAAGCTTTATCGAGTGCGAGTTGGTCGGGCCCACATTTATGCAATTAGAGAGTGGGAGTGGAAAACGCGGGAGAAAAATCTGTTGATATCATTAATACCATTTTCCGTGTCCTAAATTTGTGTATTTTCTATGAATTAATATATATATTTTTAAAGTTTTTAACATTATAATTTTTTTTAATCCTAATATCAACTAAGTTTAGCCCCCTTTTGACCTCCACTATTTGGTGTTATAATTTTTAAAATTGTATTTTTTGAAGAATGTGAATAAAAAATTCATTAATTTAATCGAGCCCAGGCCTATAAACATAATCATACGATAGGTTGATTGGTATAAAATTTTGTAATCCTTTGTACAACACAAAATTCATTTATTTGACTTCAAAATCATTATGCACAAACTTTGTTTATTTTTTTTTCTATTATCGTAATTTATTGTTAGCAATAGTGACCACCAAGTGAAAGATTTAGTTTTGTAATAATTGTTATGTTACCCCCAAATGTTATACTAGAATGGATAGGTGCAACAATATCATATACACAAGCATCATGCTTGGGAATCCCCCTCAAGCATCTTTAGATCCATCTTTAGACGCTAATATCCTTGAGGCGTAGGGTGAAAATGGTCATTTATATTTTAGACAATGACATACAATATAGGGAACTCGAGTGCTAGATGACCAAATAAGAAATAGGGACATCGACTGAACTTGTATGTACAAGATAACTTTTTATCGTAAACTCCTTTATTAAATGGTCGCGTCTTTATGTTCAAGTAACGTGCCTCACAAGGCACAAAATTGTTATGCCATTATGGACTAAAAACATTTTCTTAAAAGCTCAACTAATTTTATGTTGTGTCAATTTTTCTATTAAAAACAGTTTCATGGGATATTGTGGGGGAGATCTATGTAATTTGTTACATTTTTATTTAAATAAATAAATTGTATCATCAAATACCATGCTAGAGATGTGCCCCCAAAAAATCAGAAAAATTAGAAATTTTACCCTGTAAATATTTGTAAAATTAAATAAAGTAAAATCTAAAATTTTGCTCCTCGTGTGTGTTTTCTTTCCATTGGTATGAAATTATTGGAAACTTGCAAGGTTAATTTAGGAATTTAGGGGAATGTATGGTCTGTTTTTATCTGTTTGTTTCGGACAAAGAACACACGCATAATTTGGCGGGTATATTACGCTTCCTCATACATAACGAATAGCCACTTGGCGCTGCCGATGACTTGCCGCCGAAGGGAGCGAGTCCAGCAGCGGAGAAATCGAATTGCTTAATTGGACACAGCTGGGGTACTGTTAAGTCCAATTCATGTAGATGAGCTGTCAACTAATAGATAATATATCATATGCTCAATTCAACAGAAGAAAAAGGTAGGCTTTAGGTTTGGGAAAATAATCTTGGCTAGTGATGGACCGAATCTAATCGAGTCAAGTTGAATTTTAAATTTAACATCACGAATCGAGTTGGGCTCATCATCAAAAGCTCACAAGTCATACCAACCGACTCACACGCTTGATTGTCAAGCCTGTCACGGCTCGACTTGTAATGATTCGCGAGGCTTGTCATGGAATCAAAACGCGTGTGTTTTTGTTTTTTGGGTTAAAATGATCATACTTTAAATTTAAAAATAATTTTACAAAATAGATAATCAATTTTCATTTTTTCCTTTCAAAAATTGCTGAAAGAGCTAAGTATTAAGTTCAATTTTTTCATTACTCATTTCATCAACTTTTATCAAAATTTACTAAAAACTTAATATTTAACTAAACCAAACAAGGGCTAAGTATTAAGTTCAATGAAATGGATTATATATGTTTCTCTCTATTTCATTGACATATCATTTAAAAATAAGTACTAGTTTGTAAGCAACGATATAACAATGGAATACAAAGTCTATCCAAGAGCGTCAAATAAACTATGAATTAATTACGCCCTTGTTTGATCATCATTCTTTGGAAAAAAATGAATTCTTCTACAGTATTTTGACATCATTTCAACAATGCATTCTTCAATAAAATAATATTACACGTAAATTCAAAACTTTTTCTTATTTTTTTAGTCACACATTTTCCATCAATACACTATTCAAAAATTCATTTATCCTCTCAAAATGGGGCTCAAACAAGGGCTACATTTCGTTTAAGGTACACTAAGAATAGAAATATACTGTTGATTGTATCCTTATCCCACGAAAATTATAACGTCTCAAAAAATTGTTATGCTTTAAAAAGGCATAAACATTATGAACTTTATGCCTTTTGGAATAAAGTGAATAGCTTCTTGTGTTCCTTTCTGGGGTAGAAATAAATTCAGGCACGTTCGAACATGGAAGAGGGAATGAGTTTGTCTAATGCAGTTAGAGAATATGAGTGTTGGTCACGTGAGACTGGTGCAGGCCCGCAGATCACGTGCTTTACCTTAAAGTTCGCTGCATGAATCTCGAATTAGTTTTTCTGATAATGGTCAAATGGTCACTGGTTAAGGTTTACTTAATTCCTAACCTATTGCGTGCCTTAATCTTCACGTCATTCTTTCTCTATGGACGTATAAAAATGAACATATTTTATAAAAAAAGTTAATTTTTTATAAGTTGGGAACTTAAAAATATTGTGAATTGAAAATCCACCAAGCATGGCCGTCATAGCTTATATAAGTTAAAAATTTCTCAGGTGTCTAACTTATAAGTTGGCTTATAAATTTGGTACACACAGTTTGTGGTTCGCAGCTTAATCCTCGACTTGTACATGATCGAACTTGAATTTAAAATTTAAAGCATGGATTAACCTATGTTGAATTGTCCAATTAAAAATTTAAGTTGATAGAATAATAATCTATTTATCTGCAATGACCAAAAATAATTTCGGAGTGTATATGTCAGTGTTGATGTCACTCCTATGAATGTGAGGTAAATTTATGAGTTAAGACCATGTTTAGTAGAGATTTAATCAAATTAACATCAATTTCTTGAACGTTATTTCATTATTCCAGCCGTCATTTTTGAATTCTTCTCTCACGGATAAGATCTGCTTTATTTCTAACGATCAATAAATTAATTAACAAAATCCCTACCAAACAAATAATAAAATTGGTTCTTAAATTTTTCGATCGAACTAACCAATTAAATCTGATTCTTGTGACATTGATATGAGTTGGGAGACTACTAAACTCTATTGGGTTAGTTGAGCAAGTGACCTTTTTTTCTTTAGTTGGGACCAACTATTATGGGTTGACCAACAGATCTCATCAACCAAATTATAATATGTTCCTAAAATTTCTCTTGACCCATGTGGTGGCGGGGATTCCGGGTATGGAGATCATTTCAGGGCTCCGCATGTATATGTTGAACAAAATTATTCTAAATCAGATTAAAAAAACAAATTTCTCCATTGAGCCCTTATTTAAAACTTTCTCGAATTTTTAACCACACATTCTCCATTAATTTACTATTCAAAATGCATTATTTTTTGCCAAAATGAGGATCAAACAAGGGCTTAGAATTATAAGCCACAAAATATTTTCAAGCTTTGATATCTATCATGGTGGGTGTACATAGTTTTTTTGATTAAAAAAAAAAATGAATTTAGTCGATGGGACATGTGAAAGACATAATTTAGCCCTTATTTGGTAAAATTATAAATGGTTTATAAAGTGAAATAGTCGAAGGTCTCGCAAAATTTGTCGATAATGACAAATAGCAGTTATAAATGTGTGCTTTAAATTAATAAATAATTTTAGCATATTTCTTTATCTAGAGAAGAGAAATGTATTTTAGATAATTTATGGATTTCTTATAATAAGAATCCAAAAGACCAAAAATATTTTCTTGCATGCATGAATGCATTGTCAGAACATTTTAGTCAGAACAAGCAAAGGTTTAAATTTTATGATATTATTAAATGAAGAACTCCAGGAATTTTTCATTCTTGGTTAGAAGTTTTAAAATCTGTTCTTTTAATTCTGGATGTAAATCTTTAGTTACTTGTAAAATAGCAAATAAATAGTCTATAGATTTATATTTTTCAAAAGAAATTAATTTTATACCGTATTCAAAAATATCTTCTATTTCTTTATAAAATGTAAAACTATAGAATATTTTTTCTAAATCTACAAGTAAAATTCTAAAAATCATAAAACAATTAAGAATTTTCTAAAGATTCTAAGAATTATACTTTTTTCTATCCCAGTCACTACTTCCTTTTTTGCTGTGATACCAAATGGGGGGGGGGTATGCTGTTTTATCTTTTTTAGATTGTTTTTGGAGTTCTTCAATTTTCTCAAAGATCTTTTCTAAAGAGGCGGTATCTGGATTAGGATCTTGTGATTCTTGAAAAAATAAACATTCTTGACTATCTTGGACTACCATTTTTTCTTTTCCCTTACTAGATTGAAATTCTTGGGCTTGTGAAAGTTCTGGGTTATTTGAAAAATGTTCTGAGGAAAAATGTTCTAGTGGACTATATTTGACTAAATAATCAAATTTTCCACTGGGCTGTCCTAAGAGATCCCAAATTTCTTTACCTTTTTCTGTAGCAGATTTATCAGTCTGCTGAGTCTGATTGTCTAATTTAGTAGAGGAATCAACAGTCCCCTGAGTCTGTTGGGCTTTTGGTAAGTCCACAACCTTTAACGGATTTGATAAGTCTTTACCAGCTACCGTTTGGGCTGGACTAGCTATGGACTTCTTGGGCTCCATAGTACCTGTTGGATAATGGACTTTTAAATCCAAGATCTCTTTTTCTAATTGGGCCACTTTCTTTTGAAGTTGAGTTCTTT